CTCCCAAAGTTAATAAAAGCAGGTGGGCGGCAGAGACTGACTTTCAGAGCGTGTGAGAGAAGTGTAATGAAACAGTCTCTGGCACGTTCTCCTTGCAAGTAAAACTTTATTGACTCTGCTCGTGTCTTTCCTTACAGTTCCAGTTCTACAAATGTTTGGTGTTTAAACCTGACAATTTTACAGTTAAAATATATGTTTATCAAATAAAGTCTAATGTTACAACTAATCAGGGATCCTTTAAAGTGGGCAAAACCTCATTTAGCAGAAGCTAACAGGTCTGATATTAGTTTTCAAAAGTTGGTAATAGCTAAATCACTACATAAAAAAATTAGTCTCCATTTGCTGTTAGCTGATTAGAGGAACCATGCTCATCACTGAACCCAAACCCAGCAGCTGATCCACAATAAAACAGCAAAAAAAAAAAGAGAAAAGAATCAAGTTGCTGCCTTCAAACTTTAAACATATTTCTAATACAGAGCAAAAGTTAATATAATGTACTGGTCAACGTCCTTTCAGATCTGCTGGTGGTGTGCCAAAAATGTTTATACGCTGCCCTGATGTGCCCATAAATATGTCTCATTGAATCACTTTAGAACAATTAGTGGTTGCAGATGCCAAACATTTAATAAAATCTGCCTAATTGCTTTGGCCGACCGATCGGCTGGACTACCTCCAGTTAGGGATGCTGGGCCAGCGAATAAAGAGCAAAGAAGACAAAGGTTAAATATTCTTTCATTTAATCATCACTGAGGAAAACCAAAAAGCAGCAGATGAGCTTAGAGTGCTTAAAATAAACAACAATATTGACAAAGTATTTCTTTTCTTGCTAAGTTAGTAAAATTCCCCCCTCAGTGTCCACCACTATGACAACTCAGCCAATCACAGCCTCACCCAGAACGCAGTCCCCCAAGTTCACCCATCAAGTTAATCCAAAATGCAGTGGTACTCTAGGCTGAACCACCAAGCCCCTCAAACAAAGCTCCAGGCACCAACTGCAGCCAATGTGTTACAAATTGGCAAAAATGAACCCAGGGTGCAGGCAGCTTCAAAAAGGAAAAAAATAAAGATTTGTTAAACAAAAATTGCTCACAGGGCAGCTCAAAAACTCACTTGGTGTAGCATGGCAAGGCAAGGCAACAAACATACAGGCTGTGAACAGCACAATGATCAGACAGGGAAGTGAAAACAAGAATCAGAATATAAAGTGAGACTAACGAGCACAAACAGGAAACACCTGGGAGAGAAACATGAGGAGCAGGTGAGAGTGGGCGGGGCTGGAGCAAAGGCAAACAGGAGGAAGAAAACAGATGACAAGACAGAAACTAAAATAAAACATTAAYACAGACACAAATCATAACATAATGAGCAAAAAACGCACCTCCAGGAGGACCCCACCCCCTCACCACAACAGTCAGGCCTGAAAACCAGACCCCACRAGCCTTTCCCGCCTGCAACAGACGTGTACCATGACTCAACAAGTGCACAGCAGGGTCAAAACGTAGAGGAACCTCAGCTACCCAAGCAAGGATATGAACAATTCCAACTCAGAGACCCTGAACCCTCAGACACCCCCAAACAATGTGCATGAAATAAACCTAAGTCAGGGGCCTGAAGCACCCAACACCTAACAATTGGTATCAAATACATCCTGTAACAAAACCCCATGGATACAGTGGAGACTATGAACCCCAGAAGCCTTCAACTCCACTCCAAATCACCTTCCCTCCAACCAGGATCAACAAACAGAAACAGATTATCTGAACAACTGAGCTTTTGGTTGATTGACTTGTGCAGATCTACCATGTCTTTGATAGATCTGTAGGTTTTATTCATGGTGACATGATGAGATGAAAGAAACAGATACTCTGCACAACTGAGCTTTCAACACACAAGCAGGAGTGTTAGGTTTATCATTGCTTGGTCAGTTGATTGATTGATTGTATGAATGATTTGTTAGTTGGATGGTTGATTGGTTAATTGGTCAATTGATTGGTTGATTGAGCAACTGATTGGTTGATTTATTGATCTCTGTACCACATGGTCACACAACCAATCCAGAATTCCATAGATGATAATATAGTGGAACGAGTATATGAAGTTAAATTTTTAGGGGTTGTCTTGGATCATAAACTTAACTGGAAATATCATATAAAATATATAAAACAAAAACTATGTAAAAGTATTGGACTCTTAAATAAAGTAAAAATATTTTAGAWCAACCAACACTCCATACATTATATCATTCATTTGTTGCTCCTWATATGASCTATTGTGTAGAGGTATGGGGCAACACATATAAAACCAACACTAAACCTTTGTTTGTGTTACAGAAGAACGTTATGAGAATTCTGTATAAAGTGAATGTTAGGGAACATACAAATACATTTTTTATTCAATCAAACATTTTGAAACTACGGGATTTAGTTATTTTAAAGATTTTATTAGTTATGTTTAAAGCAAGAAAGACATTATTGCCAATTAATTTACAAAAGTTTTTTGTCTTAAGTTCAAATGACAGAACTAACCNAGAAGAGGGGTGATATGACGTTTGGTTTGTTGTAACTTTTATATTTAACAAATATATAAGTTACAGAAACACGTCCCCATTAAAGCGTGGTTTTCGTTAGCATTTTGTTTTTTTCTAGAMTTTTTCTTTTTCTTGCTACTTTAAGCTATGATTTTGCACATTTTAGATAAAGGCAGTTTTTTTTTTGTTATTTTTTAGCTAATCTTAAATTACAAAACAACTGGACTTCCATCCTGTCATGAAGACCAGTCATTTTGTTTTTTAGCTCTGGGGATTCGTCCYAGAACAGGAACATACCTGAGGGTAGTGCCGTGTGTTCTGACGAACCCAGCTCAGCAGAATCTTCTCACTGTTGGTCTGCTGTAGGCCCGCCATCACATCCTTCATCACATCCTTTACCTGAACACACAGAGAAAACAATCAGCAGGTTTACACGCAGGCTGGACTCAGGAAGAACATACATTGTTTTAGAGAAAAGTGACGCGATGTAGATGTCTCAGCAAATTCACCCGGGGACAGACTGTGCAGTGCTCAAAATGAAATAAACCAAAGAGCTCGTCTCAGACTCTACAGGCCTCAGTTATCAGGTTAAAGGTTAAAGGTCATAACAGGACAAGAGGGGAAAAATGCTGATATGCTTTGATTTGTTTGTCTAAAAAATAAAACCACAAAAGGCTGCACATCTGAGGTTTGAAAAAAAATCATCTCCATATAAGAAGACTTCAGGATCACTTTGGACGGATGAGACCAAAGGATGGATGTTCAGTCGTAACAGACAGAACCAACTTCAGTGAACATCAAGCACATTAAATAAAACACAAACACCTCGTCCCTACAGTGAAGTATAAAGGTGGAGCAGTGATAGTTTGGGCTTGTATCAAGTTTCTTACAGTCATTTATTAAACAATGAACTCTAGAGTTAAATGTGAGACTCTGTCTAACGGCAGTGGGAAGGTGGATCAAACTGGGTCATGAAACAACCCAGTGGTGGGAATAGCTAACCAAAAAATTAGCTTTGCTAACACATAATATGTTAATCACAATTATAGCTTTAGTAATGCTAAAATGCTAAATATGTAAAAAAAAAAAGAAATTGTGGAAGCTAATGGTAAACAAGTGAAAATTAGCTAAAGTTAAGACTAAATACTTCAAAATTTGCAGAAGTCATAGTTTAACAAACAAGTAAAAATATGCAGAATCTAACATTAAACATCTAAACACGTTATGTATTAGAAGAAGTGGTTACACAGCTAAACAACTCAAATTTTAAAGAAGTAAACTTTATTTTACCATTATTTAACCTGGTAAATCCCATTGAGATCACAGAGCTCTTTTGCAACGGAGGCCTGGGCCTGAAGGGAAACTGTTGTACATGTTGTTGGGGTGGAAGTACCTGGAGAAAACCCACACAAGCACGAGGAGAACATGCAAACTCCACACAGAAAGACCTCAGGTCCAAATCAGGGATCAAACCCAGGACCTTCTTGCTGTGAGGCAGCAGTGCTAACCACTGATCCACCGTGCTGCCTTTAAACTAACACTAAAGTAAAAAAATTACCAGAAGCTAACACTAACTTTGCTAAACACTAAAATGACTATCAGTCTGTGTAAAAAAAAGATAATGGAAGCTTAATGCTAAACAGCTAAGTAAGAAAAAATTATTTAACAGACTGTCACACGTCTTCAACTTCCAGCTGCAGACTCATGGAAATGACTCAAACCTGTTGATGTTAGCTTGTTACTGTAGTTAACTGTTAGAATTAAAGTGATCCCTGATTAGTTGTAACATTAGACTTTATTTGATGAACATTTATTTTAACTGTAAAATAAAGACTGTAAAAATGCTGTAGGCTGTTTGGTTTAGTAAATTTTTAAAATATATTTTAACA